CCCCTTAATGCTCTTTCAAGAAAAAAATACCTCTTTGATCTTGTTTGATTTATTCCTATTTTTTTTTAAGTTTTAAGCAAAAAAAACATTTTTTCGAAATGTATGCCCCTTCGATTTTTTTGAAAAAAATTCTCAAGAAAACTTAGACAAATATAGAAAGTTTTTAGACCAATCCGATCATGGACAGACGTTTCGTTCTATTTTTTTTCTTAATTCAAAAAAAAATTTTTTTTTTAAATTGCATGTATTTACTTTTACACTCTCATGCATGTTCTCGGATAGTTATTTTTTTGTACCAGAGAAACAATTTAATCAATATTTTCATTGATTTAGCATTTAATTATTAATTTAATGAATTGGAGTTTATTCGTCACATCAAAATTATTAACCTCTTTCAAATTCATCATAAACGTATTAAACGCAATCTTTTGACCACGAGATTGACTAGATTTCTTCCTTATATAAGTACAATTTTTATGTTGTTTACATTGGCTTCTATCACGGTATTTGTTTATTTTGGTGAATTGACATTAAATTTTTGATAACTGGTCTTAAAACTAACTTTAATTTACGGTCATATTTAAATTAATATAAATACTTACTTAAAATAAAGTTTGATTATACAATTATTTGAAAGAGTTGTTAATTAATTAATTAAAAAGTTGAGTAATTAATTTTCAATAGTACGGTATGTTTACAAAATTCAGTAATCAATAATTAAACGTCAATTCACCAAAATAATAAAAAATTTTGAAAATTCAAAAGTGCACGCCTCGTAACGCTCATTCACTTTATAAGAAAAAAAGGGGTCATCTGAGAGTGATCCGAACGGAAATGTAGCCAATGTAATAATTGTAAAGAAATTCAAAAAGTAACTTGCTCTCTAACAAGTTATATACATTTAATACTTCATACATAACACTTAATGTATGTCAAATAATAGTAAATTCTATATAATAAAATACACACATTAAAACATTTTAACACAATATTATAAAACAAACAATTATTTTTTATATATATGTAATTAGAATAACATAAGAAGAAAAAATTATTTATTTAAATATAATTCGTTTAAACTTAGATTAAAGTTAAAAAAATATAGGAATATCAGATATAATTAGTAAGTTCAAAAATATTAAAAAATTAAAAAAAAAAAGATGTTTTTGTTCCTTTAATATTGATAAATTTTGAGAAAGTGTATAAATAAATAATAGTTTAAGTTGAAAAAAATAAAAAACAGTTTGATTTTAATATTTTAAATATATTAACAAAAAATTACTTTATAAAGAAAAATAAATAATTTCCCATTAAATAAGCAATTTTTTGTTTTATTTTAGTAATCAATATTTAAATATTTTAATAAATAAAAACAATAAAAATTTTCAAGAAGAATTATTCTTATTTAGAATAAAAAGATTGAATTTAGATTATATAATTTAATCTCCGAGCTCAAAGAAATAGCTTTTGTATGCTTTTGAGCTCTTCGAGCTCAAAAGGCTAATAGATGTTTAATAAAACCTCAAACTATAAATTTAATAAACAGTATTTTTTGAATTTTCAAACTGCAATAATTTCTAAATGAATAAATTGATTTTCACGCGGTTGGCAGTATTCCACGCACTTTTTCAGAATCTATGATAAACTTTTGAACACAAACTGATCGAACCGAAAATCTTAGAGAAATTTGAAAAATTCACTTTTTCCGAATTTTTTCGACAACGATAACTCACGAACCAATCAACCAATTTTCACGTTCTTAGTGGCGATCGACGTGATTTTTTGAGCTCTAATAATTAATTTATGTCGTCAAAAACGATCCGAAAAGAAATGTCGAAGTTATGTGAAAAAAAACACTTTTTTCGAAATTTTTCGTTTTCGATAACTCTCGAACGAATTAACCGATTTTGATGGGACTGGTGGCAATCGACGTAGTTTTTTAAGCTTAAGAGCTGATTAGTTTTTGGAATTGATCGGTCGAGCCGTTTAAAAGTTATTCCAAAAAAACAATTTTCTGAAAATTTTATTTTTGAGATTTCTCAAAATCTAGCGAACCGAATCGATTCAAATTTTCACGAAATTTAGTGGCAATGATACTCTTTGGAATGCCACCTGTTTCGATCCGATCGGTCGAGCCGTTCAAAAGTTATAAGAGTTTTACATGCATACACACACACACACACGCATCCATACATACAGCCGCACGGACACCATCGCGGGAATAGTCAGAGAAGCTTCCTAGGACCTCAAAACGTCGAGATCTGATGAAAACTCGATTTTCGAAAAATGGAGTAAAAACAATAACTTCCCGATTTTTGAAAATTTTCAATTTTCTTAGCGGGAAGTTAAAAATTTTCTCACCTTGAGAAATTTTTTCTCTTGAATATTTGATACCCATTTTATATTATTTTGGCGTGCAATTATACATATTGAATGAAAAAAAAAAATGATTCAATATTATTTGATCTTCCCATTTGACATGTTAGTCAATAAAAATTTACTTCTATCGAAATATTTAATTTTTAGGAGCAAGAGAGAAATTTTCTCAAGACAAGAAAATTTACTTCTATCAAGAACTAAATTTTTTGGAGCAAGAGGCTGAATTTTCTCAAAACAAGAAGATTTTCTTGACTTAAATAAATTTTCTTGGATCAAGATACGTATTTCTTGAAGCAAGAGAATTAATTTTGTTGGAATAAGTGAAATTTCTTGTGTCAAAAAAAAAATTTTCTTTCGCTCAAGAAAATAATTAAGAAGAAAAATATTTTCTTGGCTCAAGTGAACATTTTTTTCTGTGTATTTAAATTAACAGACATCTAATTGACTTTTATATGAAAGTGATATTAATTTTTAATAACTAAAAATTGAAAAGCTTTCCAATTTAATTTTAACTTGATGAGAACATTCAAAAGTTATTTATTTTGTTGCTTAAAGTTCATTTATATTATATGGAGTAAATAATTTGTTATCTACAAAAAATTTTACGCTACTTAAAATTCTATGACTGTAATGATTTTTGAACTGATCTCCTTATGATCTCAAAAATAGCTTAAATTTATTTATATAATAAAATAAAAAATAATTTATGTTCAGTGATTCTTTGAGTTTTTTTTTCATTGATGAGAACTTATATTAAGCCTTAAAACAAATCATCAACATATTCCCGGTCTTCAATTACATGTAATTTTACTTCAAATTTTTTTTTTTACAGTGCGATTTTAACCATAAAAAATTAATATTTCGTGTATGGCAGATTTTTAATTTAATTTTTAGGATCGACTTTGTTTTTTTGTTTTATTTATAAATTATTATAAATATTTCAAGTCCGAGCTGAAAATCATAGGTTCTTGTAAATGTTTTTTTTTTTTTTTCGATTATAAAAAAACCCATACGATTTTGAAATTTTTATTCCGAAATGATAAGGATCTATGAGATGCTGATTCATAAGATCTTTTGTTTTAATGAATTAGATGGTTATGAGTTCTTATGAGTATTATCTTGGACAAATACACATATAAGTTCTTACAGAATATTTTTCTAGTTTTGTTTTTATGATATTCTATGAGATTTTTCCAGCAGGGATAGGACTTTTTTCAGCAAAATAATTATCGTGAAGAATATTAAAAAAAAAATTTGTCAGTAAAAATTTAAAAAAAAATATGAATGAAATTTTTTCTAAATATTTTGTTAAAAGTAATTTTAAATAATCAAAAAAAAAAATATCAGGTCTCTGCTGATTTCAAGATCATGAATTGGCGAGGATTTGAAAATTCATCTTCTTGCATTTCAACTCAATAATTACTGCAGCTAAATTTGGGTTAATTATCCGGAAGAATTAGATAAAAATCAAATTTTCGTCAATTTGGTTTTCTGGTCCTGTATAATTACTCAACACTTGTGAAAAACTGAAAAAAAAAAAATTATTTTCTCTCAATAAGACATTATTACTTTAATTTGTCGATAATAAAAACACTACTCTTACCCAAAAGAGTAACCATCTTGCGATAGAGAAGTACATGCGAGAGTTTTTTTTTAATATATTATTGCGTAATCCTAAAAAAAAAGCACACATAATATTCCAACTTTAATCCAAAAAACTTGCGCTCACTATAACTATATATTTTATTAACAAAGAAAAATAAATAGAAAAACAATAGTATGTACGTAACTATGACGGAAAACAACGGATATATCCGGATTTGACCGAAAATTATCATCACCGTGGAATGAGCCACAACAAGAAATAAATTGGTAGCATTCATCAGCATTCACACTGAAGTTTTCGCTACACTTTGTTGCTCTATACTATACAACTTACAAGTGCACACACAAGTGTAGTATATATATACGTATACATTGGCGTTGATACACATTTCATGTATTAACACGATTATATCAATACTAATTATTAATTCATATATCAGGATAATTTTATAAAATTCTAATTCGACAGGATTGCTGTATTATTAGCTATTACCGGTGCAATGTAAGTATATTTTAAATAAATAAAAGCACTTATTTATTTTAATAATCTTTTATTCGCGCGGCAAACAACTGGATCCGCTTTTTTTGTCTTTTAGAAACTTCCATGCAATCAAGACTTTCAATAACAAAAACCCACGCTTATTGTTGTAGATATATTTATTGATATTATCTAAGATCTTATATATTTCCTTAATATTTAAACAAATATTTTTAAGTAATTTCATTATAAATCATTCTTTCACAGCAAACTGTGTATTAATTTGATATATATTTAGATTGAATTGAAAATTTATTTGAAAATACTTAACCTAAAATAAAACTGTAATTATTAGAAAAGCACACAAATTAAAAGAACTTGATGATTGATAATTATATTTTTGTGGATACAAGTATTTATTTTTTATTGTTATTTAATATTTATCAATATTATTGCATTAATTAATTGTTTTCATTTTCTTTTTAGTTTAGTGGAATTTTTGTGATTTTAAGTAAAGAAAAAAAAATACACATCAACAATGGCTGGAGAACAGCAACAATTTTTCCTCAAGTGGAATGATTTCCAATCTAATATGGTATCTTCGTTCAAGCATCTGCGAGATGAAAAAAGTTTTACAGATGTAACATTAGCATGTGATGGACAAACTTGTAGAGCGCATAAAATGGTACTTTCGGCATGTAGTCCTTACTTCAAATCTTTACTTGAGGTATGTTATATTTATATTACAATTATTTCGTTTTAAACCTATTTTTTTATCAATTCAAAAATTATAAACTTTTTCCACTGATCAAAATTGAATCACCTAAAAGATTTATTTTATTAGTTCATATTGTTAACAAGATTCGAAATATTAAGAAAAATAATTTTTAAATATTAAAATTTTTCGTTTTCAATCAATTTGTTGACTTGAGTAAAATGTATTATCAATAGAAAGATAATTAAATAAATGACAATAATTTTGAGCATCAAAAGACGTTTATATTTATAAAGTAGTTTTTCAATCTTTTAACTTCGTTTGTTAATACTTGAAATTATTGCTTACAATTTTTATTATAATGATATAATTACAATTACAATTTATATTTAATGTCATGTTCACTGACAATTGTTATTTTATATTCCAGGAAAATCCGTCCAAGCATCCAATAATTATATTAAAAGACGTAGCTTACAACCACTTACAAGCTATTCTTGAATTTATGTATGCTGGAGAGGTAAATGTTTCCCAAGATCAATTACCAGCATTTTTAAAAACAGCAGATCGACTCAAAGTCAAAGGACTAGCCGAAGCGCCTGGTGCCATTAAAAGAGAGGGCTAAAACTTTGCCGATATTTAGTTATGGTAAATATTTATTTATCATATTTAGTTTACTTTAAGCTCATAAATTTTTTCTTAATCAATATGGAAACTCACCACCTATTTTTTAAATTATTAATTATTTATCATTTTCGTTAAGACATATTTTTTATGAAAAAAAAAAATATTTATTTTATTTCAATTTTTAAACTAAAATTTAATATTTTACTCTTCTTAAGACAATCTTAAAAACTCGTAAATACTTCTTTAAAATTAAAATTCATGTATTTACTTGGATTATCAGAGTTTGTATTGTATAATTGATTTAATATATTGTAATTGTTTTCCTTATTATAACTAAAAAAAAAAAAAATATTAAATACGACATTATGAGAGATAAAAATAAGTATTATCAACAGTAAAGGTGAATTGAATTCTAAATAATATTATGTTATAGTTATTTTATATGAATATTTTATTTAAAATTTATATTATTTATTATCAATATAATAGGTTAAAATACTTAAGCTTATAATAATAGGAAGAAAATGAAAGTTATTAACTAAAAATTTATTTTTATTATTTACAGATGTTATTGGAAGCGTGCGGAGTGAAAAAGTGTAATGAATGCGTATACAAACGAAGTGATTGGATAAATAAACTGGAGCGCAAAAACATACATAAACACAATACATAAACGTTAATAATATCACCTTTGATTCAAATAACCAATAAAAACTAAAACTATAACAATAACTATAACATAAACATATTTTTTTTTTATTTTTTTTTCATTTATTCCATTTAGGGTCAAACCAGAAATCATTGTTAGAATATTTCATTAAATTTGTTAAGGACTGACAAGACTAAAATATGGTATTGAATTAAAGGTGAAAAATCAACACTACACCAATTATATTTTTTATTAAGGAAAGTGCTAAAAAATTGATAAATTCAATATTAAATAAGCAGGTCATCATAGATTTATATAAAATGCTGACCGTGGACATTTGTGAATCAGTACAAAAAAATCATTTATTTATTAATAATTAATTACTATAACTCAAATTTAAATTAATAATAATAACGAACCCTAAAGCCTGACAAATATTTTATTTGTTTACTTAATTAATTTTTGAAAGGCATTGTGTATATTCTAAAAGCTTTCTATTTGTTTATTAATTAATATAAATATATAAAATAATCATTTAATAATAATAATTAATATTTTAGATTTACAAAAGTCCCGGCCATCAGATCAAGGGGTTTTTAATCAACTTTGCTAGAAGTTCTATTTTTATTTTTCTTACTCAATTTTTTTTCACTACTTAATTTCTTTCAAATAGTTAAAAATTTTTATTCCATTGCATTGATCTAAAAAAAATATATATATTTTTTATAGATTACGTTATTTTTTTTATTGAAAAAATAAAAATCCAACTTCTTGTAATGGTGATTTACCTTTACCAAATACTGCCAGGACTGTACCGGCGTATTTACATTATTACCGATAGACCAAATTTATTTATGATAATAATATATTGAAGGTTGTTTATCCTATGCCGTGAAAAGTTTTATGTAACATTAACTGAGGAACAAAAAAATTTTTTAATGCCAGACTGCACAGTTCTTTTAATCATATTTAGAGCACGAATTCGTCAGTAGACGAACAAAAAATTAAAAAAAAAAATTATCCAAATTAAATGTAGTTGAAAAAATGAGAAAAAATATATTCTGAGCTCATTTTGAAGTATTTCATCGCATAAACAAACACCGTAATTTTAATATTCATTATTTATTGTATTATCACAGGGTGCAACTTATTGGAATTTTATAGATTTTTTTACGCGAATTATCGAATTTTTTCAAGTTGAAATAAATATTAGAATTTTCTTCCATATTATATTCTTTACCTGTCTGAAATTTATTGTTCGATATAAAAATCAGAGATCATTTCACTGTGATGATCGAAATACTATTTATTTTAAGTAATCTCGCAGTTTAATACTTCATCACACACAGTATATATTTTTTAATTGACTAATTAAATACAATTGTGCATGAGAGTTTTATTTAAATAGCCATGGTCAGTCTAGATGTTCATTTTTTTACAATGTAATTTACTGTATTTTTTTATTAGATATCTGTTACTTTAATTAATGAATAATTAAGTAGAATGTATTAACACAAGGATGCGAACACTAAAAACGATCACAACTAAATTTCATTTAGTGTTTTTTCAACTGTCCGAATTTTTTATACTTTGTGAGACAGTATTTTCTTATTAAAATAAGATAAGACGTGTAAGTAAAATTATAATAATATGAAATGATCTCTGATAATTCAAAAGTTGTTAAAACTATATCGACTCCTATCGATTCTTTATGCTTCGTTTAATTAAAATACACATTGAAAGAGACAAAAATTCATTGAATATAAGTGTGAGAGCGCTATAAGATTAAAATTTTAAATAAAAAAAAATGATAAAATTTATAGTCATTCGATGTTCTTCCTTTGTTAGTGTCATTAATTTTCTTTCCGTGAATAAGATAGGAATATTTTTCCTGTAAATGAGTCTTTATTCACTTCACATTAATTAGAAGTTACTTTTCTCTACAAATATTATGACTCAATGATGATAATATGAAGATGTTGACTTATAAAATAAATTGTGTAAATAAAAAAAGAAATATTTGTTGTCTTTTATTTATATTTGTTTAAAATTCGATCGGTAGATATATTCTATGCATAAAAATCATACATTTATTTCTCAAAGCTAATAAGGCGTGTGTTTAATTATGCGCCCTTTTAGCTTTAGGAATTTGAAAATTTTATGACCTAAAGCTCAAAGGGCCTAAAAATATTTTTTCTGAGCAATTTACTAAAATGCTTATCCTAAATCTAAAAATAAAAAAAAAAAATTATTATATTCTATGAAAAAGTTTTTTTTTTCATTGAAAAATTGATATTTTCATTTTTTTTATTGTTTTACTTTCAATGAATTTAAAAAAATATGTGGTAGCTCAAAAAAATTTTATTTATGTTAATTTCATACCTAGAAACTGAGTAACTAAACAATTTCTCTCGTTTTATTCATTTTTGTAATAATTTAACTTAGTAGACTAAACTATTTTTTTATCTAACTTGTCTAAGAAACTATTTGTCAACATTTTGTATTTAAATTTGAATTCTTTTAGCTTTAGGCACTTTTTTTCTGAAAGCTCTAAAAGGACACATGTCTTGAGATACGCCTTTTTAGCTTTAGGATGCCCAAATTTTTTTTTACAGATCGCACGCAATATCGTATTTGTAAATTGGATCCAAAAATATTTCAGTCTAATAAATGCAATTTTTTACCTTAAGAATATTTTTCAATAAAAAAGTTATTTGATTAACTCAAAATTTTTGGTACTGTTAATTCAAATAACTATCTCTTGTATTAAGAAAAAAATTTTTAGTCAAAAAAAAATTTTTGAAGACTATAATGTTCTTAATTTAATTCAAGCTAATCTCATCATCTGTGTAAGTTACAATTTCGGTTCTATGATTTCTAATTAGGTCCAGGAAGTTCGAGTTTGAATGTCAGTGAAAATATTGGCCCCACTTACAATCGTCGGATAAAATATCGGTCAATAAAAATATTGATTGGACAGAATTTAAATATAATTAAAAAGAATTGACTATGTAATTGCATATCCATATATAAGGCGTTCCACGCCAAAACGATCCCTTTTAAACCCGACCCCATTCGATTTCGCTGAAAAATTTTGTTTTTTTATCTCACTAAAGGGATTTATAAAATTTTTTCAAATTTTTGTACCCAATCAAAAAAATAGCTACGAATTAAAAAAAAAATTTCTTTCTTTAACATTTTATAGAATTCAATAAATTTATTCTTTTCAAATCTTGGTATCTTATTTCTTCATTTATTTATTAAACAAATATCTAAAAACTGTAGAAGCTACAAATTTTTTTTATTAAAATAAAACATTAAAAATTTTAACAAACGTTTTGATTTCAAACTTATTTTAAAAATTCGATTATCATATCAGTGAAAAATCTAATATAATAATTTTATTTGTTTACTTCTAATAACATACATTAATGCCTTAAGCTATAAGGTAATAAAAATCTTTAAAAAAAACATTGTTTTACAAACCAATATAAACACTAGAAATAAAACAATATATATATGGTCATTTTTATAGATATAAAAATAATGTGTCCTTTGAATTAGAAATTACAATACGTATAATAGTCTTGAAAATATAATTTCAATCGTGTCGTTACAAACTGCACTATTAAGATAATATAATTCAGTAAATTTCTTTTATAAGAAATTTTGTAGCAAAAATACAAATATTTTTATTTTCTGTTGTCATTGGCCATGACCGAGTCATACGAAGGTGGAACTGTAAATATAAATTATTTTATTATACATATTCCAACTTTGAATAGAGTTATTTCTACTTACGCTGCTCTGGAGGATATTGAAACGGTGACGTTGGATTAGATGGTACAAATTCAACATTTCGGGGAGGCTGAAAACCTGGAGCTGAGGGATATTGGAAGGGATGGACATTAGGATACGGGGCGTTATTAGGTGGATATTGATCTGGACCAGGTTGAGTTGGATAAGGTGCACCTGATGGAGGATATGGACCTGAACCAAATTGAGTTGGATAAGGAGCACCTGGAGGAGGATATTGACTTGAACCAGATTGAGTTGGGTAGGGCGCACCTGGTGTAGGAAACTGAGGATACGGTGGAGTTTTTTCGCTTTGTGGTACACTTGGAACAGGCATTGGAATAAGTGGAGTTGGAAAAGGCGATACAGGATCATATGCTGGAGAGTAATCAACAGGTGCAGATGGTGAAGTAATTGGTAGTGGATGTTGACTAGGAACCGGGTGATGAACTTGATGAGCTATTGCTGGAGGTCTTGTTCCAATCAGAATGTCATAGAATTTTTCCGTTTTACAGTGCCTATATTAATTTCATCCAATTAATAAAAATAAATAAATTTATTAACATTTAAAATATATTTATAAATGTGAAAAATTATCAGAGAATTGATGATAGTAATAAATAAAAAAATCTATCATTAAAATTATAGGACAAAATTGAATGATGATTTGAATTATTTGTTTTCTATGTCTACTAACTGTGCATTAAATCGCGTGCCAAAACGTAAAAAGACGCATTTCTTTAAGTTACTTATTTTCGAACTTTTCGAAACCCAAAGATCTGTAAAAAAAAAAAATATGTATGTGTACCAGAGTACACAGGTAAAAAGTGAAACTTCTTTAAGACATACCATTTTTTTTACTATTATTTACAACTTTACAGAAATTGGGTCGGGCTTAAGAAAAAAAAATTTTTTCCGTATTAGATCAAAGCTATTTTAGTATTAAAGCTAAAAAAACGTATCTCAAGACTTGTATCCTTTTAACTTTTAGAAAAGTAGAGCCTAAAGCTAAAAAGGTGCATAAAAAAAAATTGAAGTTTTAATACAGAATGTTGACAGATAGTTTCACAAGACAAGTTAGATACAAAAAAGATTCTAGTATATAAAATTAAATTATTATAAAATAAGTAAGAAAACAAGGGTAATTGTTTAGAATCGCAATTAATCGGTTTCGGGGTATAAAATTAACATAAATACAATTTTTTGATCGACCACACTTTTTTTTTTAATTCATTAGGAATAAATTAATTAAAAAAAAAAATTGATTTTTTTTTTCCTTTGTAGGCTTAGGGTAAGCATTTTAGTAAATGGCTAAAAAAAAATTCTAAAGGCCCTTTTAGCTTCAGATCACAAAGCTAAAAAGGCGCATAATTAAAGGCATACGCTCTTTTAGCTTTAGGAAATGAATATTTGATTTTTAGAATAGAATAGCGTAGAATATTCGGCTGCCCAATTTCAAAACACAGTAACTAACATTTTTAAATTTTTTCTACTTTTTCTTATTAAAAAAAAAAGTTTACCCGCCAAATTGATGAAAAATTTGATTTATGAATAGAAAATACTTGAATATAAATATTTTTAAGAAAAAATACTTGAAATTAAGGTCTAAAAGTTATAAAAAATGCAGCAATACTAAAAAAAAAATCAGGTATAAAAATTTTGCAGTTACTGTGTTTTAAAATTGGGCAGCCGATATGCCCAGTTGACCAGTCGATTGGTAATAAAAATTTAATTATGCACCCTTTTAGCCTTACAAAACTAAAAGAGCACATGAATTGGTACGCAGCCTTTTACCTTTTAGCAAGCTAAATATCAACCATCAATGTAATATGACTTCGATTCTCTGATATTGTTTTAAAAAATTAAGTATATATTTTGTGATTACTTACAATCCAGAAACATGTACTTCAATATGGACTTGATAGCTGATGTCTATAAGACTACAATATTGAAGCTTTGAGAGTGGAACGGAAGGTACTTGTAGTCCAACAAGTACTTCACTTTTTTTAAGAAAAGGCCCTTCTCGTTTACTTTGCTGGACAACGCAACTTTTAGTTTTTGTTTTCTTATACGGAGATCGTGCGTGAAATTCTAATTTCTTAAATAAATTATTCAATTAGTAAAAGAAATAAAAAATCACAATTTTATATACAAATAATATTTACTTGTTCTAGTTTTACTTCAATCTCTTCAACTTCAACAGAATCCGATCGGTTGTTAATATGAACAGTCGTATGAATAGGTTCACCACAAGCGTATCCAGTGGTTGGCAGTTCAAAAATAAAAATCATATTACCTCTGCTAATACACGGTAAAATGCAACAATAATCTTCTTCTTTCTCATCATGGATACCAGCCTGAAAAGTTTAATTAAAAAATATAAGTGAATAATCATAATAATATAAGTATGATAATAATACTAATTATTAAATTACCATAGAATATGATTGTGAATCCAACTCGAAAGGTGTTTCGACAGTAAAAATCTTAGTAGTTTCATGATCAAATTTCCATGGACGATCTATTATTGCCTTCATCGAGTATTCGACAGAACCGACTCCATGTTCAAAACTGTTTGGGATATTTCGGGGAAGAGCGTAACTGAATGGGTAGGTGTGATGTCCAGCCAACATTTCAATAGTGTCACCACCTGATTAAAAAATTAATTTAATCTAAATTTATCAGAATTATAAAATTTTTAAATATTAAAAAAATAGTTACCTGTACTTCCGAAAAGACATACATCATTACGAAAATATTCTTCTTCTCCAGTGTAGTCAACAGTTCTGGAACTTTTTCCACTGCTACTTGTTTTCTGCCAATGAACTGAACATTTTCCTTTGAATCTTAGTTTCAGGGCTGAAAAATTATTGGTCACCAAAAAATTTAAAGTCATGAAAGCACCAGACATCTGACATTCTCTTTATTGAAAGTTCATCTAAAAAACTCAGAATTTTAGATATCTACTGTTTAAGTATAACGGATATATTCTAACGGCGAAAATTCATGCATGATTAATGTTATAAAAATTTTACTCGACTTGTCATGATTATTTAAAATAAAACGATGATTTTTTAACTGAGTACTATCATATTTCTAATTGTATAGTCTACTTAGAATTTATGTATATATTGCTTCACTTGAATTGTAGATTTTTAAATGTATTCTAGTGGTGCGTAGAATTTACTTAAAAATAACAGAATTATAGAATAATACAGTTCAATTTTAGTGGACATCAATAAAATATGATACTAAAGTTAGCTAGCAGACATTTGACGAATTTAAAAATTTTTTTTCATTAATTAAATAAGAACTAAAAAAATATTCTAAAAAATTCCATGCATTGTTTTTTAAATTTTCTACATGTGGAATTTTTTAACAATTTTTTTTTGTTATAAATTTTTTAATAAAAAAAATTCTAAAATTAGTCCAGGTACTGTTAACTTTATTTTTTTTTATTGGAAAAATTATTACAAAAAAATTTTTAAAAAAATGTCACTTGTAAAAATCTTCAAAAACTACAAGTGCAATTTTAAAAAAAATATTTTTTTATTCTAATTTAATTATTAAAAAAAAATCAAATCATTAAAAATGTCGGCTAACTTTAGTATCATTTATTTTCATCAATAAAATTACTATGCGTGATAATGCTACGTGTTGAGACAATGTACATGCTGTGGTTGGTGTGAAAAATTTTTAAGTACTCAACTGACCTTATTTGATTAAAAAAATTAGTGTCAGTCCTTGAAAAAGTATAAACAATTAATTATTTAGTGAAAACTTATTAGTACTTATTAATAAGTAAATGTATACTATCCACTCGTTATTTTTATTTAAAAATTTCCCGCCAGAATAATCAAAAATAGTTTTGACAATTCACTATTTTTACTGATAGAAATAATCTTTAGTTTTACCTTGAAAAATTTTATTCTTAGCTGTCAAAATCAAGAGAAAGTCTGGTAATTATATTCATGATAATTGATCAGTAAATTCAATAAAAAAAAAAAAAGAAAATAAAATGAACGTTATACGCAGTACTTGATCACCAATAGATAAAACTTATAACCTCGAATTATTTATAGAATTATTTTTATGCAGCTTATTACAACTGACATATTATGAATAAGTAAACCAATAATGTTTATGGCTATCAAAATGCACGAACAATACCTCGTAATTTTTTTGTTTTGGTGACATCAACCACAACCTGGCCGGTTATTATAGCACCTGCTCCGTAGGTTGCTGTTGGATTATCTAATTTTATTTCAAATGTTCTCAATGTTGATGACATCTTGCTATGTATTGTTAGACGGAATTAAAACACAGAACTAAACGAGATAAGGTCAACTCATCAACTGGTCAACAAATATATGCGCGTCGAGAGAAAGAGAGAAAGCTAAATAGACAGATGAATACTATTACTTTTCCCGAAGACATAACATCGCACGATTAGTTTTACACACTCATATTTTTTTTTCTTTGTATGCAGCAAACATAAAAACTATAGTATATGTATGAAAATAGTGTGTTTCATAATTCATCACGGGGTATTATGTTGGATAAGCGCATACAGCAAAAAATTGATTATCTAAAATTATTTAACCTGATCCACTTTCTTTAATTTTTGTGATTCATTCAGATTTGTTGACACTCAGAGCATTCATTAAAAAAATAATACTGAAATGAACAGAAATCTGTTGATTTTTTTGAAGTATATAATAACTAAATTATTAGAAAAAAATTCCACGTCTAAAAATTAAAAAAATTATTAGTGCAAATTTTTGAAAATTTTTTTTTTACCATAATTAATTTGTTATAAAAATTCCAAAAATTATCAGATGTTTAGTGATTTCAGTATAATTAAAAAAGATGAAAATTAAATTAGCCGACATTTAAAAATTTTGATAATTTATTTTATTGAGAAATAATTTTTAAAAAATTTTTCACATGTAGAAAATTTTAAGAATTATCCGTGAAATTTTTTAAAAATAGTTTTTTAGTTTTAATTTTTAATTAAAAATGATCAAAAATTTTTGAGTGTCGGCTAACTTAATTTTCATTTAAAAAAGCTAAGTGTTGTTAAACACTTGCTAAAAAAGTAATTTCCGCTTAAAAATTTTTAAACTCTAGAATAATTTTACATTATTTCTATTCTCTAGATACTAGTGATAGATAAAATCAAAATTGATCATCGAATAATCAGTAAAAAAACTAATTTTACTACTGTATTTACAAAACACTTTCCTCAATTAGTATTCTACTAAGTAACAGTTGATTTCTAATAAAATTTTAAGAAAAGTAATGTTATTAATATTGCCATTTTACATTTCCGAATCAGTCTCATAATGAAGTTCGACTGTATATAGGTCATTCCATCTCAATTTAGCGACGCTTTATCGGTGACCCCCTTCGAATTTTTGATATATTATTATGGATGCAAAAAGCAATATCCATGTTAATTTTTAGCTCTCTATCTTGACAAGTACCAAAGTTGTAGGTCATTTTTTATGTTTTTAGATCTAATTTAATCTCAAATTAAACAACAAAGTTCTTGAACTAAGTAATTTATTTTCAAAAAAAATTTTTGAAGTAAATTTTACTTGAAAATATTTTTTAATTTATCACAATTTGTTCCACTTATGAGATTACTTCAATTGGTTTTTATGTATTGAAATTATTTACCATATTATGCTCTATATTTTACTATGATCTTAAACTTATAGATTTTATTCAAGAAATTTTTTTTTATTTACCCACAGAAAAATTTAATTTTTTCTCTCATTATTGAAAAATTTTTTTAATTATCTCTAAAATTTGAACTTCAGTTTTCAATAAATAAATAAATAAAAAAAAAACTAATAATTTACTTCAAAAATCAATGACAGCTCATTACTAAAATAAACAGATATAATAATTTGTAGCAAAACGCTATTTTACTGATGTGAAAAATTTTAAGTAAGCTTAGAAGATACTTAAACTTTTTTAATTAAAATCACTGAATTATAGAGTTGCTTAGGTTTCTTATTTTGTATCAATTAATTCAAATTATATTTTATATAATTTGTACTAAAATATTTAATTTTTACAACATATACATACATTTTGAGATGCATCACAAAAAAAGGGACATTGATAAGATTCAAGTTTAACATATTTAAAGAAAAATTCTAAATTTTATAAAAAATTCAATATAATGGATGTAGAAAAATACTTTATATTTATCAGACCTAAAAAAAGAAGAAAAAAAAATTTTGTTAAAAAATATGCACAAGTTAAAAAAAAAAGCGTATTAAAAATTTTACCTTTAATTGCCGTATGTAGTTGCCATTTTTTCAAATAACATTGAAAATATAGGCGAATTGGATTTATTCATAGATTTAAAGTCTTCAGTCTCGATTATCCTTTTTGCATTAGCGATTATAAATTCGGTAACAAATTGAACTAATTGTTGAGCACTATGACGATCAGCCAAAATCAAAATTCGAATAGCATTTTCAAAATTTATAGATTTACTTATTGATTCTTCACACATTCCTTTCAATGTCTGAATTTGATATTTGTCTGCAGCTTCTAATAACTCTTGTGCATAATTATCCATATTAATTATTTCATCACAGTAAATATACTCTAGCATTTTTTCAATTATTTCTGGCCTAATATCAGCTATAGTTACTTCATTTTTTTTACTTTCAATCGTTTCGTGGACAAACATTGCCGCTAGTACTGGACTTCTTGCTATTAAAACGCCTTTATGAGCATTGAATTTTTGATTTTGGACGATTAAAGTGACATCACTTCCAATTTTATTGAGATAGAGTGTCTTATAATCTTGAATCATTGAAGATTTTGTCCTTGGAAGGACATCAGTAGAAAAACTTTTATACTCGCCATATACGGTGAGATCAAGGCATAATGTCAAAGTGTCGCCCGGTAAATATTGATTTTTATTATCCAACAATTCTTTTTCTTCAATAAATGCTCTATATCCCCAATCAGGGTCTCTTCCCAAAATTTTATCTGCACTATGAATATTTTTTCTTTCCTTTTTATCAGTCAATATGCAAAGAAAATATGTTACCCGTATTTCTTTATCTTCATTATTTGTTGCTAAGAATACTGACACATATCTTTTATTGTCTGACTTTGAATTATTTAAACGCAATTTTAAAAACCACGAGTCTTCAACTTCTGACGAGCCTGTCGAGAATTTAGATGACTCAAGATAGGTATCCTCATCATTGAATCTCGCAGATTTAATTAATGATGTCACTTCATTAATTTCCCACTCATAAACTATGCTGAACTTGTTAACTCTAGAAAAACTTTTCATCATTTTGATTGAAGAAATCCGTTAAACTGTAATTAAATGTATAAAAGCTTATTTTAATACCACTTGATCTTGAATCATAGTATTCAATATGTTCAAATATTAAATAATATTAATATAATACTAACCTTTTCGGTTTCAACTTTTAATGACGTGTCAGTCGTGATTTGTTATTTTGTTGGTTTTATCATCAATAAGATGACAATACCACTTAGCAGTTTGACTTTTTATGCTTGCAACTGGATAATGAGTTAGTTAAGAAAGAAAATAAAATATAAATATTTATAATTCTTTCTTAATGAGCGACATTGTCAATATCTAAAGATTCAGACGTTGAAAATTCCATGCCATGCTATCTCGGTTTAACTAAAAAAAACCAAAATTTTTTTTCAATTTTATCAATAGTTGACTAGATTTCATGATACTGAATTTAGCAGAAATTCAATAATTTTTTAGATTTTTAAATAATAAGTGCGAATTAAAAAAAAAATTTTTTACAATAATTGATCTGTGATAAAAATTTGAAGAATTTTTAAATGAGAATAAATTTAGCAGATATTAAATAATTTTTAGAATTTTTTTAACAAATAAATTATGGCAAAAAAAAAAATATAAAAAAAAGTTAGCATGTAGAAATTAAAAAAAATCAAAAATGCAGTTTTTTTTTTAAATTATTTTTTGGAACAAATTTGTTTGTTCAAAAAATTAAAAAATTCTCTCATGACTGCTGATTTTTAAATTTCAGTATCATTAGATTTCTGTTGTTTATTCACTTTAAAATCTGAAAAAAAATTAATCTATCAATTTATCATAGTAAAAAGTTATAAAACATTGGAAATAAATAAAAAATTACAACGTACCATTATTACTTTTATAAAATATTTGATGAATAACTTCGATAATTTAAAATTTTGTAATTTTTAGGATCAATCACTTTGTTGTTGTTATTGTTGTTCATAACCTCAAAATTGAAAACGCTCTAAAAGTTTTAAGCCTAATTTTCAAATTTCTCCATATAAAACTCCTATCGCCCTGATTGGACACTATCCGAAAATCAACACAGGAAACAACAGTAATAACAGTAAATAATAAAGAAACTTGTAGTAAAATAGACAGCCGGTAATGTAGACACCCTTTATAAATGGAAAAATTTTTGAAATGACCCGCAATAACTATAATAATTTCAATTTTTTAATTTTAAACGTGTATTTTTTATTTTTTTATTTGTTAACTAATTTTTTATTGACTTTTTTTTTTAATGAAAAATTAATTATCGTCTGCTACATTCACAATCATTTATTATTTTTATTATATAAATTTATATTTGAGATCATTATTTTAAAAAAATTTCATCATATTATCTTCTTTGTTCAAGAACTGTGTTTGAAAAAAAATTAAATAAATTTTTAAACAAAACATACCTGCAATTAAATAAAGTGGTTACAAACTTCTTCATCGGTAACTTCAACCTTCAACAACAATTTCACTTAAAATTCTACGCAAAGACATAAGTATTAAGTATAGACCTTTAAATATTAGATTAATCTTAGAACATCTTGCTAAAATTTGGATAGTTCTTTCTTTTTCGTCTCTCTGTTGAACAAGTTCATTGACTGACTATATTAACTGGTTGGTGTTTCTTGAGTACAAAAAATTTATAGATCAAAAAAGTAATTTTATTTGATAAACTTATTCTACTAAAATAAATTTCATTATATGTCAATATAAAACATATTTTAATTAAATCAGAAACACTGATTTCGTACAATGAAACAAATAATTAGAACCGTACAAGCAATAAAATAATGTAAAAAATTGAAAGAAAAAATTACTTTTAACGAACACAAAAAAAAATATTTAATTGTTTGAATTTCACAATGATTAATTCAAGTAATTGATTTTTATATAAAAACAGATAAGAACGGATAAAATAAAAAATAAATTCAGTTGATAAAATCAATAAT